CTTTACAACATGTGTTCTCATTGATAGTGAAAACCGGTTCACCAAATATTGTTACCATGTTTTCAGGAGTTAATGACAATAGATTGGGATTAAATGTTAAGGAAAAACTATTTTCTCTCTCTCCCTCTCTCACTTACTCTAAACACTTACTCACTAATTAGTGCATTAATAATTACCATCTCATATGTTTTGCACCGATAGGTCTGTTTCATATGCACAACACCGGCATAATCAAGGGTGACATCAATGATGAGGGCGTACTTATATGCACGGGTGAGGGGCCCGACGGGTATGCGGCCAAATGGGCCGACTTTGGCGCGAGTATACACCGGCAACTGTTCAGCCAATGGGGTATTGCTATCGACGACCAAGAGTTTGAAGAATATCGGCGCCAGGATTGCCAACAAGCGTCCGGACTGTTTGACTCAATGCTGGCCACAGTGGCCACCGGTGCTGACGCGGAGGGTATGTCCGGTGCGGTGCAAGAGATGCGCGCATTTGTGGGCGAAATGCGTGTCACTCATCAGCCCCTGGATGTGTTGATCCATAAGTATCGGTTCAATTGGTGATACCTGTCATAGATTTTATACGACACACATTTCTAGCAAATTATTAATCATAAAATTTTTGTTAGATTTAATTATTTATGTTTAACATTGATTTTAAAATTTTTAATGATTTAATTTTTATGTTTATATTTTTATTAAAATATTTATAATTATTAATTAATAATAAATCCAACCCTAATTAAACAATTAACATGAATTATTACACTATAATAATTATAATCAATATTTAGTTTTCACCATTTAAATTAATGTAATTAAATGTTATCATGTTTTCTCTTAAAATGTCTTCTCATATCACTTGCCGTAACAAAGCGTTGATTACAGTTATTATGAATACATTTATGAAGTTTTATATTCAAATGTCTTCTCACGTGTTCTTTGAAATGAGATTTTTCAGAGAATGTTTTGTTACAATCACTGAAATGACAAACAAATGGTTTTTCTCCCGAATGTATGCGTTTGTGTCGATTAAAATGTGATTTCTGATTAAATCTTTTTCCGCAATTTTCTTCATTGCATTTGAATTTCTTTTCATTCAAATGAACACAACTTTTGTGTTGAAATAAATGCTGTTTTGTTGTAAAACTTTTGTGGCATTCATTGAAATCACAAATAAATCTCACATTTAAATGAACGTTATTTTTATGGCGAATTAAATATGATTTATGTTTATAACTTTTATTGCAATTTATAAAATCACATTTAAATTGTTTTAATTGGCAGACCCGGCGGTGGGTATACAGCAAAATGGACCGACTTTGGTCTGGCGGTGTCCCGAGACGTGTTCGCCCGGTGGGGACACGTGTTGACGCCCAGAGTGATGTACAAATGTGCCCGGGCGGATGCCACCTATCTGCAAAAGCTGACCAAATACATGTTGGACACGTGCGCGAAGACACCAGGTAATGTTGGCACCGACTTGAGTGAGGTGAGGGCATTGGATAATGAATTGGAGCATTCAAAGGAGTTGTTGACTCAAATGATGCCCAAATACAAGATGTTTCAGTAAAGTTTTAGTTGTAGTCGTATGAATGAACACCAGGTATTTAGACATTTAATACACAGTATACTTTTCAAGTATTAAAATTTTGAGTACAGGGGCTGAGGTGTCGGTCCTCGAGTATAGGCCGGTGCGTACCCATAAGGGGCCTGTTGTGGCGCCAATAATGGTGCTGATATGTAGGGCACGTCTGTGTCTAGTAGTGTTAGTGCGAAACTTGTTGGGTCTACCGGTGTCTCAATGTGTTGTAAGTTATTGAACGGTTTCCCTGAAGCGAATCCATGCGCTGACCCGTTGGACATGATTTAGTTTGAGTATAAAGTTACAACATTAATGTAATTTTTCATAAAACAATTATTTAATGTATCTAATTTTAACATTTTATTTACATAGAAAATTTTTATAAAAATAGCTAAAATTTTATTAAATAAAATGGTATTTATTTTAATCATTACAAATAATTGCATTATGTTTTCATCTAAAATAATGGTAAAAATAAATAATTTTAATAACAATTAATACAACAAAATTACGTTAAAAATAACTTGCATTCCAGTGGTTAAGACACAAACAGACACAGACCTACAAGACATGGCCCGCAGGTACGGAAACCAGCCTCAGGAGTCACCACAATATGCACTAGCAAACATTATGCGCACCGCCCCTACCCCCATCACTACCCCCACCCCTCGGTTCGCACCGGTCAGATACGGACGCACTTTTGCCAACCTTGTGGAGCGTATGGACAGTCTGGACCAACCCATAACGCCGGCCACCAATCAAAGCGCTGCCCGAGTTGGAGGCGCCTCAGGGTATAGCTACCCGACCCCACCCATCACACCGGTTGTGACCAAAGTTCGGCCGACACCGCCTCCCAAACCGCTAAGAGGTCTCAGTACCGGGCGATTGGCCCAACCATACAGAGAACCAACAACTGAATTAGCTCCGGGTGATGATGAGCTGGCCCAGTATGGAGCTGTTGGGGGAGTGCCCGCAGTGGGTCACTACTACGGTCCCCTCGGTGGAGAGTATGCCTACCCGACCCCACCCAGCACTCGGGTCGCCGGTGGCCGCCGTCGTCGGCCTCCGACACCGCCACCCAAACCAATCAGACGTCCGCCGCCACTGCCACCCAAAATGCCGACACTTGGCGGGGCTGTTGGGAGAGTGCCTGCGGTGGGCCAGTACTACGTGCCCACCGGTGCGACACCAATGATGCGAGAAAGTCAAAAGCCATGGCCGCAACTAAGGGGTCGCTACGAGTTCGCGCCCGACACCTACCAGACCGCTCGCACGGGCTCCACCACGTCCGGCGAGCTGAACGTGAGCAGCGATGAGTGGCCGCTCTTTGGCTTAGGCCGTTACGCCTCGTATGTAACCGCCCACAAGCCAGTCGCCCGACTCCGGGCTAAGACCAAACGGGATTTGGGGAAACTAAGAAGTAAGGGCTTTGACGTGGCCTACATCAACGAAAAGTCACTTGGCCAGGGTGCGTTTGGCGAGGTGTTCCGGGGTGGTTATACCGATCAGGTACGATTGTGTGCACAACATGTTTAAAATTTAATTCTTAAATAGTAATTTTATTCTCATATAATTTGTTTTTATGTTGTTTTTATACTCAATAGATTGAGGTGACGAAGCGCACCCAACAGGGTAGCCACCTGCGCAATGTCAAGTCGGGCGATCAGTTCGCGGCCAAGTATGTCCAGTTCGCGCCCGACAGGACGGCCAGCGATCATCTCAACCATTTCATCGAAAAATGTATATTGAAATCACTACAACACGAAAACATTGTCACCTACAGAGTGGCCATCAATTTGGGCCGAAAAGTGATACTTCGCAGCGTATCGGGTGACCAGTCGCAGGACATTGTCTCCTATAGGCGAGCGTTTTTGGTCATGGATTGCGCCGACCAGGGTACTTTGAAAAACTTTGGCGATGCTGGCCGTCTCACCGATCAAGTGACCGTGCAATTCACCCGGGAGTTGTGCACAGGTATGTTTTAATTGTAATAATTAGAAAATATGAATCTTATTTTTAATGATTATAATTACCACGTGATTATTTCTCTAATGTCTAGCCATGGCTTATATGCACGGCAAGGGGGTCAGACACGGCGACGTTCACGCCAGGAACGTACTGGTGTTCAGCGCACCCGGCGGTAGGTATACCGCCAAATGGACCGACTTTGGTCTGGCGGTGTCCCGAGACGTGTTCGCCCGGTGGGGACACGAGCTGACGCCCGGAGTGATGTACAAATGGGCCCGGGCCGATGCCACCTTTCTGCAATGGTATATCACCACGTACATGTTGGACACGTGTAAAAACAATCCAGGTAATGTTGGCGCCGACCTGAGTGAGGTCAGGGCACTGGACGCGGAATTGAAAAATTCAAAGGAGTTGTTGACTCAAATGATGCACAAATACAATATGTTTCAGTAGTAGTCGTATGAATGAACACCAGGTATTAGACATTCAATACACAGTATAGTTTTCAAGTATTAAAATTTACCAAAACCCTAATTGTGTTGTTTAGCAATGAATGTGTTGTGAACGGAAAATAACGGTATTAATTTTAATGTTTTAAAATTTGCATTTTGAAACATGTATAGTATGTTTTCCGGACAACATAATGGTAAATTAATTAATTTTATAACTAACAATTACTTTAATTTGAATAGGTAACTATTTTTATTTGGAATATTGGTATTTATTTAAATGGTTTAAATAACGCTAAATAATAATATTTAAAACAATATATTTTTATAACAATCAAAATCAAACAATTACTATAAAAATACTTACAATCTGTGGTTAACAAACAGAGACAACAGTAAACACACAGGCCATGTCCAGCGGACAGGGATCACTTGCTATGGCCCAGTCATACGCCCCAACCGGACGCACATCACCCGCACGGGACAGTCAATGGCCGCACCGGCGGCTACAGAGTCTCTTTGAGATGGCACCCAACAACTACCGGACCAGTCGGACGGGCGATACCGCGTCCGGTGAGCTGAACGTGAGCAGCGATGAGTGGCCGGGCGGACTCGCAGGCCGTCTCTTATCGTACGTGACTGTCCGCAGGCCAGTCGCCCGACTCCAGGCTAAGACCAAACGGGATTTGGGAAAACTAAGACTCAAGGGCTTTGACGTGGCCTACATTGCCGCCCAGTCACTTGGCCGGGGTGCGTTTGGCGAAGTGTTCAGGGGTGTTTATACCAAACAGGTATTTTTATTGTGCTTAAACATGGTTAATGTTATTGTAATATGGTTTTTATGTAATCTTGCTCAATAGATCGAGGTTACGAAGCGCACCAATCAGGGCCACTACTTGCGCGATGTCAAGCCGGACGACGAGTTCGCGGCCAAGTATGTCCAGTTCCCGCCCACTAGATTGGCCCCGGATCATCTCAACCATTTCATCGAGAAATGTATACTGAAATCACTACAACACGAAAACATTGTCACCTACAGAGTGGCCATCAATTTGGGCCGAAAAGTGATACTTCGCAGCGTATCGGGCAACCCGTCGCAGGACATTGTCTCCTATAAGCGAGCGTTTTTGGTCATGGATTGCGCCAACCATGGTACTCTCAAACAGTTTGGTGATGCTGGCGGTATCATCGATCAGTTGACGGTGAAATTTACCCGGGAGTTGTGCACAGGTACGTTTTAATTAAAAATATAAACCATGTTTTAAATGATTATAATTTACAACGTGATTAATGTCTATAGCCATGGCTTATATGCACGGCAAGGGGGTCAGTCACGGGGACGTTCATATTAGAAACATACTGGTGTTCACCGCACCCGGCGGTGGGTATACAGCGAAATGGACCGACTTTGGTCTGGCGGTGTCCCGAGACGTGTTTGCCCGGTGGGGACACGAGCTGACGCCTAGAGTGATGTACAAATATGCCCGGGCGGATGCCACCTATTTGCAAAAACTGACCAAATACATGTTGGACACGTGCGCGAACACACCAGGTAATGTTGGCGTCGACTTGAGTGAGGTCAGAGCACTGGATAATGAATTGGAGCATTCAAAGGAGTTGTTGACTCAAATTATGCCCAAATACAATATGTTTCAGTAGTAGTAGTCGTATGAATGAACACCAGGTATTAGACATTCAATACACAGAATAGTTTTCAAGTATTAAAATTTATAAAATCCAAAATGTGTTGTTTAGAAATACTGCAATTTATTTTAATAATTTGTATTTTAATCATGTGAAGTATGTTTTTTGGACGACATAATGGTAAATATATTAATTTTGTAAATATCAATTATTTTAATTTGAAATAGGGTAACAAACAATTTGGTTGAGAACATACTTGAATTTTATGAAATAATATTATTTATTGCAACGATTTATATCAGGGCCCCAAAAAAGTCATGAGTATTTTTTATACAAAATGTTAATTTATTTTATTCTTAAGATAATTAACTTTAATCAATGATATATTCTCCATCATTATCGACAACTGTCTCCCATTGTGTCACCAATTTTTCAATTTCCTAATTGAAGATTAAACTTGATTTTAAGACCACAATCTGAAGACACCCCCGATTTGATGACATCTGCCATTTTTATATTCTCCATCATTATCGACAACTGTCTCCCATTGTGTCACCAATTTTTCAATTTCCCAATTGAAGATTAAACTTGATTTTAAGACCACAATCTGAAGACACCCCCGATTTGATGACATCTGCCATTTTTAACACCATTTCTTTCTCACACATTAGAAATAATGGGTATCTGTGGTAATCAGTAGGGGGTATATAAGGGTTGATGGCAGTGTGAGTATAGTTTTTATACCTCTTGTTATTAAACTTTAATTGGGGTTTCATTTTCAAAATTACTTTTTTCGGGAATTTTTTTAGCATTGAATCACAGTAAAACACCGTTAATTTAATCGCTAGCCGTTCGTAAACATCTCTAAGTGATTCTCAATAGTCTATTCCCTATATCCCTACCCTATGAACATATCGTCAGCCAATATGTTTGACATCGGAGTCCCGAACCAGTTAAAACACTCCCGATAAGTGACCGAACATCGGGTGACCACCACGGCTACAATCAAGGGCGCGGCACATTTTTAGCTATAGTGGTCATTCATGTACACTTATACAATTTACATTATAAATGTGTTTAATTTTTCGAGTGCACAATCGCGTCAAATAAGCTCTTTATAAATTTGTATAAAACAATGTCTAATGTGTATATTGTTCGGGGAATCGCTGGCCATCGATGACAATAATTATTTTTAATATTTATATCACAAAATAATCTCAATATATAGTAGCCTTGTATAACAAAGAGCTTTGTCTTATAAGTATGTGTTTTACTTATAAAAATATGAGTTAAATTTCAGGTATCATTTTTGAACATTACTTTTTTGTTCACCTAGATATAATGACTATGGTGCTAAACTTTCATCCGAAAAAACGCTAATATCAATAATAATATTTTAAATAATTTATATTTTTATAACAATCAAAACTTAGCAATTATTAGTTAAATATTTACAATCTGTAGTTAACATACAGGGTATGTCCAGCAGACAGGCATGCATGCTATGGCATAACCATACGTCCCCACCGGACACACATTACCCGCACGGGAGAGTCAACGACCGCATCGGCGGCTACAGAGCCTCTACGAGATGGCGCTCTACGACAACCAGACCAGTCGTACGGGCAATACCGCGTCCGGTGAGCTGAACGTAAGCAGCGACCAGTGGCCGGGCGGACGCGTAGGGCGAGTGTCGATGTCGCCCACCCTTACAGTCTGTCTCATACTCGTCAACAATTGCATATACCTGTTGTGGGCCTGGGCTTCGACGGGCATGTCCTGTCCGAAGGGTATTGCTCGGCCAACCGGTGGCCCAAAAATGCCAGACTCGGCCAATTCGGTTGAGTACAAGGGCTGAGGTGCCGGGACTCAAGTATAAGCAGGTCCGTACCCATAAGGGGCCTGTTGTGGCGCCAATAATGGGCCCGATATGTAGGGCACGTCTGTGTCTAGTAGTTTTGGTGTGAAACTTGTCGGCTCTACCGGTGTCTCAATGTGTTGTGAGTTATTGAACGGTTCCCCCGAAGCGAATCTATGCGCTGACCCGTTGGACATGATTTACATTTAGTATAAATTTACAACATTTGTATAAAACAATTATTAATTGTTCATCATTTTAAAAATTTTATTTAAATCGAAATTTTTATCAAAATTTTATTAAAACTTTATTTAATAAAATGGTATTTATTTTAATCATTACAAATAATTGCATTATGTTTTTATCTAAAATAATGTTAAAAATAAATAAGTTTTAATAACAATTAATACAACAAAATTACGTTAAAAATAAATTGCATTCAGTGGTTAAGACACACACAGACACAGACTTACAAGACATGGCCCGCAGGTACGGAAACCAACCTCAGGAGTCATCACGAGATGCATTGGCACGCATTATGCGCACCACACCTACCTCTACCCCCACCCCTCGGTTCGCACCGGACAGAGGGCGGGCGCGATACGGACGCACTCTCGCCAACCTTATGGAGCAAATGGAAAGTCAAGAACGCCGTCGCCCACCGGCACCGCCCCCAAAACCAACCATAGCTCGCCCGACACCGCCTCCCAAACCGCCCAGAGATCTCATTACTCAGCGATTGGCCGAACCATACAGAGAACCGACATCTGAATTAGCTCCGGGAGATGAGCACCTGGCCCTACATGGGGCTATTGGCGGAGTGCCCGCAGTGGGTCACTACTACAATCCTCTAGGTGCGGAGTATAGCTACCCGACCCCACCCGTCACACCGATTACCGGTGGCCGCCGTCGCCGGCCAACACCGCCCCCAAAACCACCCAATCTTCGCCCGACACCGCCCAGAGATCTCATTACTCAGCGATTGGCCCAACCATACAGAGAACCGACCCCTGAATTAGCTCCGGGAGATGAGGATCTGGCCCAGTATGGGGCTGTAGGCGAAGTGCCCGCAGTGGGTCACTACTACGGTCCCACCGGTGCGGAGTATGCTTACCCGACCCCACTCAGCACTAGGGTCGCCGGTGGCCCCCGTCGCCTCCCGACACCGCCCGCCAAACCGCTCAGAAGTCCGCCGACACCGCCCCCCAAACTAAAAGGGGCTGTTGGGGGAGGACTGCGTACAGTGGGTGAGGAATACGTGCCCACCGGTGCGACACCAAAGATGCGAGAAAGTCAAAAGCCTTGGCCGCAGCTGAGGGGTCGCTACGAGTTCGCGCCCGACACCTACCAGAGCGCGCGTACGGGCGACACGACGTCCGGTGAGCTGAACGTGAGCAGCGCTGAGTGGTCGGCCGGTGGCTTAGGGCGTCTGGCATCGTATGTAACCGCCCGCAACAAAGTGGCCCGACTCCAGGCTAAGACCAAACGGGATTTGCGTAAACTACTAAGTAAGGGCTTTGACGTGGCCTACATCAACGCTCAGTCACTGGGCCGGGGTGCGTTTGGCGAAGTGTTCCGGGGTGGTTATACCGATCAGGTATGATTGTGTGCCAAAACATGGTTAAAGTAGTGATTTTATTCTCATATAATTTTTGTTTATGTAATACTCAATAGATCGAGGTGACGAAGCGCACCCCACAGGGTCGCCACCTGAGCGATGTCAAGTCGGGCGACCAGTTCGCGGCTAAGTATGTCCAGTTCCCGCGCGATAGAGTGGCCAGCGATCATCTCAACTATTTCATCGAGAAATGTATATTGAAATCACTACAACACGAAAACATTGTCACCTACAGAGTGGCCATCAATTTAGGCCGAAAAGTGATACTTCGCAGCGTATCGGGTGACCCGTCGCGAGACATTGTCTCCTATAGGCGCGCCTTTTTGGTCATGGATTGCGCCGACCAAGGTACTCTCAAACATTTTGGCGATGGTGGTCGTCTCAACGATCAGTTGACGCTGCAATTTACCCGCCAGTTGTGCGCAGGTATGTTGTAATTAACAAAATATGAACTTTATTTTAAATGATTATAATTTACAACGTGATTAATATCTATAGCCATGGCTTATATGCACGGCAAGGGTGTCAGTCACGGGGACGTTCACATCTGGAACATACTGGTGTTCAGCGCACCCGGCGGTAGGTATACCGCCAAATGGGCCGACTTTGGTTTTGCGGTGTCCCGAGACGTGTTCGCCCGGTGGGGACAGGAGCTGACGCCCAGAGTGATGTACAAACGGGCCAAAGCCGATGCCAAATTTCTGCGATCGGTGACCAAGTACATGTTGGCCACGTGCGCGAAGAATCCAGGTAATGTTGGCGCCGACTTGAGTGAGGTCAGGGCATTGGACGCGGAATTGTTGAGTTCAAAGGAGTTGTTGACTCAAATGATGCCCAAATACAATATGTTTCAGTAGTAGTAGTCGTATGAATGAACACCAGGTATTAGATATTCAATTCATAGTATAGTTTTCAAGTATTAACATTTACCAAAATCCCAATTGTGTTGTTTAGCAATGAATGTGTTGTGGACGGGAAATATACTGCAATTTATTTTAATAATTTGTATTTTAATTATGTGTAATATGCTTTCCGGACGACAAAATGGTAAATAATTAATTTTATATTTAATAATTACTCTAATCTGAATAGGTAACATAATTTTTTTATAATAATGGTACTTATTTAATGGTTTAAATAACGATAATAATAATAATTTAAAACAATATGTTTATAACAATGAAAATCAAACAATAACTATAGAAATACTTACAATCCGTAGTTAACACACAAAGAGACAACAGTTAACATACAGAACATGTCCAGCGGACAGGGATCACCTGCTATGGCCCAGCCATACGTCCCCACCGGTCGCACATCACCCGCACGGGAGAGTCAACGGCCGCACCGGCGGCTACAGAATCTGTTTGAGATGGCGCCCGACAACTACCGGACCAGTCGTACGGGCGATACCGCGTCCGGTGAGCTGAACGTAAGCAGCGACCAGTGGCCGGGCGGTCGCGTAGGCCGCGTGTTGGCCCGTGTGATCGCCCCCACCGCCGCCGCCCGACTCAAACGTAAAATCAAACGTGATTTGGCCAAACTCCGTGAGCGTGGTTTTTCTGTTTTGTACACTAAAGTAGGTTCATTGGGCACCGGTATGCATGGCCAGGTGTTTGCCGGTGTCTATACACAACAGGTATGGTTAGCTGTTTAGTGGAACTTAATTTAAATTTAATATTGTTTATGGTTTTATAGATAGAGGGTATTAAGCGTACTAAACAGGGTAAGTACGTGCGCGATGTGCACCCGGGCCAGTATTTTGCGGCCAAGTATGTCCAGTTCACGCCCGATGCCGACCCACTGCGACATCTCATACACTATTCTGAGAAAAATGTATTGAAATCATTAAGTCATGAAAACATTGTCGCTTACAGAGTGGCCATTAATTTAGGCAAAAAAGTGATTCTCCGCAACCCATTGGGCGCCGACATTGTCAGCTATAGGCGCATGTTTTTGGCCATGGACTTTGCCGACCATGGCACTTTGTACCAGTTTGGCATGGATGGCTATATCGACGACCGTGTGACTGTGAAATTTACCAAGGAGTTGTGCTCAGGTATGTTTTTAATATTTGCTATATTTAACATAAACATAATTAACATTTTGTGCACAACAGCCATGGCTTATATGCACGACAATGGGGTCGTACACAATGACTGTCACTACAAAAACATACTGGTGTTCAGCGCACCGGAAGGTAAGTATACCGTGAAATTGGCCGACTTTGGCACATCTGTATCCCGAGAAATATTTGCCAGATTGGGAGTGGATTTATCACCTGGACAATTGTACGATATGGCCATGGCAGATATTACGCACCTACACTATGTGATAAAGTTTATGTTGTTCATGTGTCGAGACAACGGGGTAAATGTTATTGTAGTATTGCCAGAGGTGATAGAACTGGCCGCTAATATGTTGACCCCTAACGAGCCGTTGAGCCAAATGATGGCCAAATACCCAATGTTTCAGTCGTAGGTATGAATAAATTTAGATTTTTGAGGTGCAAACATTAAAATTTTTTAAATAATGTATTATGGTAATTTATATTATCTAGTTTATTTATAAAATAAACAAATATTTATATATTTTATAATGTACTAGAAGAAAGCACATAAGCACGGTCAATCCTAACTATATTGCTCTCTCTCTCTCTCTCTCTCTCTCTCTCTCTCTCTAACAGTTGTATCAATTTTCATGCAAATCGTTTGCACTCTTTTTCAATTAGAAATACTTTGACTGAAAATAGTAATAATAATGAAAATTATCGGCACAAACATTATGTGAACAGTTCTCTCAATTAAATGCAAAATATGTTTAGGAGATGAGGGACAGGCAGAGAGAGAGAGAGAGAGAGAGAGAGAGAGAG